GAAAGTTGAAGCAATCACAAACATGCCTACACCAACGGATAAGCAAGGTATTCAGCGCATTTTAGGGATGGTGAATTGTGTTCAGAAATTTGTACCCAACTTGTCTGAAGTGACTGCACCTCTGAGGGATCTGTTGAAAAGTGATGTGAACTTCTGGTGGGATGAGCAAGTTCATGGCAAGTGTTTGGAAAAAATCAAACATATTCTGTCTGAACCACCTGTACTGAAGTACTTTGACAATGACGCCGAGACAAGCCTTCAGTGTGTTGCATCACAAAATGGACTGGGTGTTTGTCTGATCCAAAATGGTCAGCCTGTGGCATATGCATCTCGATCTTTGACCAACACTGAGAAACAATATGCTCAGATAGAGAAAGAAATGTTGGCGATTGTCTTTGGCATGGAACGATTTGAACAGTATGTCTATGGACGGAAGGTCGTCATGGAATCGGACCACAAGCCATTGGAGTCAATACTGCGCAAAAGTCTGTTGTGTGCTCCGAAGCGTCTCCAACGCATGATGTTACGACTTCAGAAGTACGATTTTGAGGTCATCTACAAGAGGGGATCACAAATGTTCTTTGCTGACACTCTGAGTAGAACATATCTTCCACATGTGAAACATACTGAGACTGATAGCGGTGATGTGTTTTGCTGTGGATGTTCGATGTCAGACAGCTTGAGCGTTGAATCCATCAACATGGTTGAGTATGTGCCAATATCTGAGGAACGAATTGACCAGTTACAAAAAGCAACTGTGGAAGACAAATCAATGACGATACTGAAGGATCTGATTCAGGACGGCTGGCCAACGTCGTCAGATGATGTGCCATGGTGTACCAGTTTTTTTCCCCCCTTTCGTGATGAGCTCTCTGTTCAAAACGGCATAGTGTTCAAGGGTGAACGTGTTGTTGTGCCAGTCAGTATCCGCCCTGGCATCATTGGAAGAATTCACTACAGTCACTTGGGGATACAAGGCTGTATCAGAAGAGCCAGAGAGTCTGTGTATTGGCCCAATATGGCCGCTGACCTCACAGATTTCATCAGCAAGTGTGATACTTGCAATACGCTGCAACAGGATCAAAGACGGGAGCCATTGGTCAGTCATGAAATACCTAGTCATCCATGGGAGAAACTAGGGTGTGATCTTTTTGAGTTTGATCAAAAAGATTTTTTGATCACTGTTGACTACTACTCGGACTATTTTGAGGTTGACAGACTGCATGATAAAAGGGCACCTGAAATCATTAAAAAGTTGAAATCCCATTTGGCGAGGCATGGACTTCCCAATCAGATTGTGTCAGACAATGGACCTCCCTTTAATTCTGAAGCTTTTCATACATTTGCAACAGAGTATGAGTTTGATCATATCACTTCATCACCCAGGTACCCACAGTCGAATGGGAAAGTGGAGAGTGCTGTGAAGATCGTCAAGAGACTTATGAGTAAGTCTCAGCATGCACAGTCAGACCCCTTTCTGGCCCTATTGGACTTAAGAAATGTGCCGACTGACGGGGTAGGCAGCTCGCCAGTTCAAAGGTTGTTTGGGCGCAGAATGAGAACAAAACTACCAACGTCAAGTCGATTGCTGCAGCCGAAAACTATTGAAAACGTCCCTGCCTCACTTTCCAGCAAGAGGTCCAAACAAGTTTACTACTACAATCGCGGTGCAGCTGAACTTTCAGAACTGAGAGATGGAGATGTAGTTCGGGTGAAGCCATTCAGTCGTGACAAAAAGAAATGGAAGAAAGCTGTCGTAGAACAGCAAGTGGATGTACGATCGTATGACATACGTACAGAAGATGAAAGATCTCTTCGGAGAACTAGACGCCATCTAAGAACATCTCAAGAGGCTGCCCCTGAGACTAAAGATGTCGAACTGGATTTGGACGAGCAGAGAATGGATGAAAGGTCAATGAAAGAGTTTCAGTCAACTGTGAACTCTCCTGGCAACACTCCTGTGAAAATTTTGAAAACTCCTGTAGACTTTGATGTGAACACTCCTGTGAACACTCCTAGGATCATGGACAGTTCTGTTCATGGCACAGCACCTGGTCATGAGATCAGAACGAGGAGAGGCAGGGTGGTCAGACCACCACCCCGATACTGGGACTTTGTGCCTTAAAAAAAAAAAAAAAAAAAGGAGGAAGATATGACGTGTGGTCCTGCTTATCAGCAAAGACTTTTAATTTCTCAAGAAAGAGAGATAGACTTTAATTTTGTTCATTTTAACTTGTTTAGCATTTGTTAAATTGTTTGCTGGGATAGTGTGTTAATTGCTATCTTTACTTTTCTAAAGAAAGGGAGATGTTGCGTAATGATTACTCCCTACGAGTCTGTATACAATGACTGGTCCATGGGCACGTGCGTCTATGTAGGCCAAACCCAACATGGAGTAAAGTGTTCGTCTCCCACCACAGTTTCATGTTATCTGAGTCTTCCTAGGACATCTCCAGACATGACATATAACTTAACACACAAGATGGTATATAAGACACGTGTGACTGATACAGAACCACAACATAGTATATAAGACACGTGTGACTGATACGGAACAACAAGATGTTATATAAGACACGTGTGACTGATACGGAACCACAAGATGGTATATAAGACACGTGGGACTGATACGGAACCACAACATGGTATATAAGACACGTGTGACTGATACGGAACCACAAGATAGTATATAAGACACGTGTGACTGATATGGAACCACAAGATGATATGTAAGAAACGTGTGACTGATACGGAACCACAAGATAGTATATAAGACACGTGGGACTGATACGGAACCACAATATGGTATATAAGACACGTGTGACTGATACGGAACCACAAGATGGTATATAAGACACGTGTGACTGATACGGAACCACAAGATGGTATATAAGACACGTGTGACTGATACGGAAGCACACAAGAAACAGGATGTAAGGCATGTGTAACTGATATAAAACGTGTGATTGATACGGAAACACAAGAAGTGAGATATAATATACATGTACGAGTCACGGATAAGTTAAAGGAGAATACGAGAGAATTGCAATAATTTGCTGGGTGAAAGATAAAGTCATCAGAAACACATACCCAATTTTTTCACTTCAAAAATATGAATATTTATGTTTTAATCGCGAAAACAGTTTTATGTTAACTGAGCTTCGGCCATTATGCATATTTCGCTGGGACTCACGTGACCTTTCCGTTCGTGACGTCAGATGTGCCTAGAGTCTGCCATCTTGCCAAAGACCAAGAGCTACAGTGGTACAAATCTTGTTGTTTCTGTCGTTTTAGTTAATGGTACTATGGTGTATTGCGTTGCCTGGGGATGCACGAAATCATCGAACAATGGAAAGAACCAGCATTTCTTCCGTTTTCCTAGTGAAAGGACAGATTTGGACAGGAGAAAGGTTTGGATCCATAAGTGTGAACGTGGGGACAAAAACTGGAATCCTAGCAAGAATGCAGTACTGTGTTCCGATCATTTCGAGTCGGATGCATACGAAAGAGACCCATTTCGCCTTGCACAATTGGGATATGAAAATCCAAAAGCTAGACTGAAGAAGGACGCAGTGCCCACGAGATTCAGCACAAAAGGTTTCGCGGATGGTTTGCCGCCAAGTGTTACACGAGGAGCATTCAGTAAACGACAAACGGACGAGGTGTAATCAAATATATGAAACTGTTATTGAAATCAGTAAGTGGCTTCCCTTGAACTGGCAAATGTTTTTTCTATAACGTTCGTTCCGGTTTGTGGACCCAATTATTGCAGTGTACCCGGAAAAGAAATTATCTTTAAATATGGGTGAAGTACCTGTTTCATTCGTTGTTTTCCATTTTTCCATATTACTCGTGTCGGCATCAGACTTGCGTTAGTATTGAAAGTTATGATCTATTGAAGTAATAGGTTAGCTGTGATTTTCATGAACATTTTTAGTTTTATTTGTCTATATTTCGCAGATCCTGAGGGATATCTTCAATGATGAACAAACCACTGAAACAAATCCACCCAAAGCCTTTGATGGAGACAGGAATGAGCCTTATGAATTAGATAAGGTAAAGGAACATGAAAAGTTTCATGGACAAAATTCCACATGAACAAATGAGTCTGTCAGTGTTTCCACCATTTTGAACATTAGTTCGCGTTTTGTCAACCTGAAAACCCAGACTATTTCACAGCAACAAGTTACATCACAACGTACACGGAGGATTCTAGTTACAAGTTCTTGCCAGTGCAAGCCAGTCACTACCATTTCCAAAGAAATTCAATGTGATCTTGTATCATTGCCACCACTAAAGCTATTTTCATCTAAATGTGAACCTTTATCACAAGTTTCATCTAAACAGCATGAGGTGTGCAGTGTCCCCATTCTAGCAGTGGAGGATATTGATGCTTGTGAGGACACATTTCTCACAAGTGACGAGGAATACATGCCTTCTGAATACTCGGGGTTGGATGAAAGTGCAGACTGTGATACAGATACTGATGACGAAACTGAACCATTTCTCTACTTGTCAGCAAATCCCCAGACTGAAAGACAGTTTCTTGTCTCTGAAACCTCACTTGCCAAACTATTCCAGTATTGCTCACATCAGTCAGGTTAAAGTTCATTTTGTGGCATGACTTGTCAAGTGAAACTGATGCAACATCAAGGCGTTATGATAACTGTGGAGACAGAATGCTTGAAGGGGCACACTACAAGATGGAACAGTCAGTCAATGCTTGGGGCAATCTTCTGTGTGCCAGCAGTATTCTTTTGAGTGGGGGATGTGCCACCCAAGTATTGAGAATGTTCAAGTTCATGAAAATGCCAATTTTTAGCATGGGTACTTTCATCATCAACATACAGCGATGCTATACAGTACCATCTTGTCTAAAAGTTTGGCCTGAACATCAGTCCAGCTTGTTGGAGCGTGTTGGTGGGACTCCACTTGTTTTGGGAGGTGATGGGAGATGTGACACACCAGGGCATTGTGCGAAGTAGGGCACATACACCTTGATGGATCTTCGAGACAGAAGAATTTTGGATATACAGCTTGTCCAGGTGAGTGAGAATAAGTGAGACACCAATGCCCTGCTGCACATGCCATAAAGATGTGTATAAAAGGTAGCAATATTGACATGAGATGTTGTGCTTGATGCTGCTTGCAGCACTATTCCGGCTGTATATAACTGCAGCCTATAACAAATCAAATCTGGAGCAGACAATTCAGTGATTGCTATGTTCTCGTTTTCATTATAGAGCAATGATGTGAAGAATTCACATCACATGGAACTTGAGGGACTTAAGCGAGGATTGTCATTTCTTGAACAGAAAGAGTGTTCCATTAAGTAAGTCATCACAGATCGCCATGTCTCAGTGAAGAAATACATGAGAGAAGAGCATAAAGACAAGAAACATTACTTTGATGTTTGGCATGTAACCAAAGGTAAGGATACACATAATATATTTTGTGTTAATCTGTTTATGATACAGATTCTTGATATACATCAATTACTATTTGCCGGCATTCATAAAATTATCTTGTGATCATATGGTTAACATATAAAATACAACTGATAAAATTGGATTAGCTACTAGTATTTTACATAAACCAATGTAAATATGTGAAATGTGCTGTGGACTGTTTGGATATGAAAACTGTTGTCTACCACTAAATTACATATTCCAATTGATGCCAGCAGTTGGGAAGAAACTGGAAGCAGCAACCAAAAAAAGTGGATGTGCTGCAATCCGTCCTTGGATCAAGTCGACGACAAACCATATGTACTGGGTAGCAGCATCATGTAAAGATGAACCAGATATAAAAAAGTGGATAAATGGTTGTCAGTGACAAATCATGTTGCAGACAAACACGAAGGACACTCACCCAAGTTCAAGCAGTGCGAGCATGGACCACAGACTGAGGAAAGACTATGGTTGAAAGAAGGTTAGGTTTTTTTAAAAATATACTTTAACATCAGGGCTCGATTTAAGAGTTGTTAACCTACTTGCACCAGGTGCAACCTAAGATAAAAGGTTGCACCAGCCAAATTCCATTGCTTTCATTACAGTATGTTATTAGTGAAATATGCTATTGAATTATTTAGATGTTTTATTTAGAAGTTTACCCCCTCACAAATTTAGACTAGGTTGCACTTTGTAATATTGGTTAGCACCAGTGTAAGGAACAAAGCACTAAATCGAGCCCTGAACATTAACATCATTTCATATGTGACCAATTCATCGGTTATACACACAGTCATGCAATAATTTACAGTGAGTGTTACAATACTATAAAGGTACACATGCCATTAACCATGATAACATGAATGAAGTAGCAATTTTGTTTTTACAGGTTGTAAACCATACAAAGCTTTCATGGAGGTTGTCAGCAGTTGTTACCTTGTGAGAGATTTGCCAAACCTGTCTCCAGTGTATCAGACTTATGCATTGGGGGTTTTCCACAGTGTGGTAAATCACTTGTGCGCCTAAGAACACCAACTACTTTTATGCTGCAATGATGACAAGGTGAGATATGCAGAGAACCCATACAATATTTCATAATATTCACTTAGTATTTCTACAATAAATACATTACAGAAGCCACTAATTGCCATGTAGTGTTCTTGATGGAAGCTGTGATATACAACCTATTTTCAATCTAATTTCAACGTTGAGGACCAACCTATTCTCAACGTTGAAACAACGTTGATGTGCCTGCTGGGCGATTTGCTGTGGCAACAGACACTTGCAGAACCTGCCAACGATGTAACTCTAAAATTTCGAAGCGATCAGCCGTTTGGCAGTCACATTCCATCTAAGGTCAAGGTCATTTGTACAACCAGTGTTGTGCGTCACGTGACAGATTTGACGGGACGTACGGTTCGTACACCCTGGCAAATCCGTCTTAATGGTTTCGTATGCTTTGGCTATTGACGAATCAGAATGCGACAAATTTATCTTAAGGGTACAAAGTTTTCTTGTATACGTTTACTTGATGCGGATACAGATGTACATAACTTAAAAACATAAAGCTAGATAAAGTTAAAAGTAAATCATCCAATATATCCTTATCTTGTGCACAGTTGGCGCACAGGCCTTCCGCAATGATATTCATTGCATGCAAACCTCGACCAATATATTATATTCTAACGTGCCCTATGTATGTAAGCGTAAATGATCATCATGCAAAAAACGCTATGCTTGTACTTGTATACGGGAGATATATTGTGTACATGTAAACTTTGAGTGTACGAAGATCAATAAATCAAAGTAAGACGAACCCGGCTCCAACAATCTTAGCCGTCCGTGAAAGGAAAAACTGAGAACCAGTACTGCTGTCGACGTCTTCCTCTTGTGTCGTTGAGTACTGTAATAATTAAGGGTTCGATAAAACAGTTTATAGCGACACTCGACGTTCTCACATGTTAAAAAACGAGGCACATAAACATTTTAAATGTGCAGACTTGGGCCCGGTTGTTCAATACTCGGTTATCTTAACCGCCGGTTAACTCCTAACGGCCGGTTAAATCCTTAACCGGCCGTTAGGTAACCGAACGTTAAATATGCGTTGTTCAAAACATGGTTAGGCATGCCGTTAGCTAACGTGGCCGTCAAAGTTTAATAGTGTGGTTAACGTCACTGGTTAGCTTTCAGATATCCCACAATTCCGTTTTCTGTTTATTTCCGGATTACCAAAAATGGATTCGCGAAAGGTCGCCTGCACCCCAAGGAAAAAGAGAAGTCGAATTTCTCTGCTGACGATGAGAATGTAATCCAGTCAATGGTTGAGACCAACTCTATAGTTTATCATAGGCATGCGAATGTCGCAGCGCAGTATTGGAATGTATTGGAACACAAGGTTCCAGACGTTTGCATATATATTTCAAAGACATATGATCCCAGCTCTGTGTGGGACTTACTTCAATTCCGACAACAGAGATGACATTTTAATGAGAAACTCTAGCACAGCTATAGATAAAATATGATGAATCCATGAAAATACATGTAATATTAATAGTAGAAGCATGTTTTCAGTGGATAGAATATTTACAAATATTACACGTTACGCTTAGACGGCTACAGTCTTAATGAATCTTTGAATTCCCACAAGACCTATCGCTCACTTTTCACTCCTTAAATTGTCATGACTGTATGGCCAAGTCATTAAGATGCTATCAATATCATTTATTAATTATTTGCCAAGTCTGTCAATTGTAATGTATGAACACACATTGCCAAATCTTTTAACAGCAAACAATATAGATGTTGTGACAATAATACCATTAGCTTTTATCTGAAATATGCATTCAATGCCAATAGAAACTTAAGATGTTACTAGCACCACGTGAACGTATTCAAACTGTAATTGTACTATAGGCCCAAGGGCCAACACTGCTGAATAAAATCGATCTATTATTCGCCCTTACTGTTGACAGGAATCTCATGAATAAAACTGTGCAATATCGTCACTATCTGAACGCCTTCACAGAGGCATATTCCGGAAAGATGTCTTGAAAAACATGAAGCTGCGTCTAATTTATAGATGAACATAATTTCCTCGATACTCATTAATCAGATGAACCTTCATTTAGTTCAATTCACAAGTGACTGCAGAAAATGCATAATTCTTTTTAATGACTTCGTACATCAGTGTATAACATTAGCATTCAGATAATATTATGAAATAAGTTTAAAATTCCAAACATTATCGTGTAAAATGACAAGAATGCCGAATCATCATAGATTGTGTCCACAAGACTCTCAATCTCAACTTCGTCTGAATCCACTATTCAACATTTAGGGAAGGATGTTGCCTATGGTCCATTGATATTTCGGAGCATTTGCTCCCCCTGTCATCCACCCATAGCCAAGCATTGACCAAGATGAAGGCCTGGTGATCGCACGCTGCATGTGCATGTGTAGGGAGTCTCTGCAAGGTGGAAAGAGTCTCATGTCTACATCATCATAGCTTGTCATAGTCTGTCCTCCCTTGGGTTTTAACTTCTTCATGAAGATTTGGTAGCGAGCCTCATTTACATTGTGTGTGACTTGACCATACATATGACAGACAAAGGAGTCCAAAGACCTCAACAAGTCAGTAGCTATCTTCAGAAAGCCCTATCTTGGAAAAAGCATTCACAAATTCAGGGTGAGATTCGAGAAGCTCAATGGGGAGAACTTTGCCGCGTTTGACAAAGGCACTGATCGTATCGCGTCCTGTAATGCATGAAGGGCTGGCTGGACATTGCACAGAGTGGACCCTTTCAGATTGATGATACTTTGTACATCCAGAAGTCTTCGTTTGTCACCAGTGCCTTTGTCAAATAGAACAGAAGGTTTCACCTTTTGAACAACCTTCAGAAGCAGAATCAACACATCTGTATCATCTGATCATATCACAACTTGTGCAGCAGAAGGATGCTGGGCATCAACATGCAAAACGTGAAGAATGATTCTAGTTTCAGCTTTTTCCTGTGAAGAAAGCATTCACAAAGCATCCTCTAGAGTGACAGATACTGATTCGCCATCCGTGGTCATCAACAAAAAACAGGGTGGCTGAAAGGGGGAGTAAATGCTCTGAAATGTCAATGGACCATAGGCAACATCCTTCCACAAGAGTTGACTGACATAATATCCAGCAAGAACTTAGATTTGAGTAGAATAGAGGATTCAAACGAAGTTGAGATTGAGAGTCTTGTGGACACAATCTATGATGATTCGGCATAAAGGTACATAAAGAAAAATAATGGTAACTCAATGTTATAAAAAGCCAAAGTGAGAATAAACCACCATGCTTTAAGTATAGCTGTAACACTAATTTTGATCATTTTAGAACAATTGAAGAAATAATACGTTCTTTAACCAACTGCCAACTAGCTATAGACAGTGTAGAAAAACAGCATTCAAGTCTGATTTCCCCCTTAGACACAATGCATTTTTCAAATTTAAAGTCTTCTTGTGCCTCTAACTAAATAATAAATGTTAGATATTTTCATTGTTCCTGATAAAGGGCAGTTATAAGAATGTATTTTGTGAAAAAAAGGAAAAAACCTAATTTTTCCAAATTTTTACAACTGGCCCCCCTCTTGTGGGGTCAGGGCATGAAAAATCCCCAGCACCCAGACTACAATAAACCATCTCAAAGTCTGTTCATGCTTTAAGAATAGCTGTAACATTAATTTTGAATTTTTTAGAGCTATTGAAACAAGAATACCTTCTTAAAACAATTGCCCACTAGAAAGTGTAGAAAAACACCTGTAAATTCTAATTTTTCCCTTAGACGCAATGCATATTTCAAAGTAAATGTCTTCCTGTACCTGTAACTAATCAATAAACCTTAAATATTTTTATAGTTCCTGATAGAAAGCAGTTATTAGAATGTATTTTGTGAAAAAAGCAAAAACTAATTTTCCCAAATTTGTCCCACCCTGACCCCCTTTGGGGGGTCACTGCGGGAAAAATCCCCCGCACCCAGCCTGCAAACACCTGGAATTTGAATGTACATATGATAAGCTTTCAAAAAAATATAGTCTTCAAAATTCCCCAAGGGGAGGGGGATGGTCACCTATATCAGCCCATGGACTATTAACTCAAGCAGTGTTTAACTTTAATTCAAGGAGTGTTTAACTGTAGTTCACGGAGTCTTTATGCTCACTTATTATACATAAATAGATGCGTAATGTTTATAGCACCTTAGCAAGAGTTGAATTTCTGTTTCTGTGTATTTACTGCAACACTGTTGATTTTAATTTTCAAGATGTTCAATTTTCAATGTTTGGCGAGATCCATTCATGTAAAATCCAGTTCGGTTGAATCATTGATATTTGTCTGTAGCAAAGACATGCTGTATTTTGTTGAAACTAATTATTTAACATTCCCAGACACATCAGCTTGTAGCGTACAGAGAAACTAGCGCTGATGAAGGCTTGGTGAGGAGATGCAAGATGACAGTTCCCACTTCTGAAGCTCAGTGAACAGATCTTAAGTCCCGTTTTTCAATTTCATTGTCATAATACAGCTTGGGAACATGAGAAAACATCCGTGGTGACACCAGGTGTTCGCGAAATAGGTAATGCATGGTGTCGTGTTGTCAGCAGCGAATGGTATATCTTTCCTGGCAAGGACCTACACATGTACTCATTGTCACGATGATGATGTCTGGCCCGATGACGTTGAGGAGGACGCGTTGCCACACGCCAGTTCAATAAGGTATGGGTTTCTAGAGTCGAATCTTAGACTTTTCAATAATAAGAGGACGACAATCTTCCTTAAAAACTTTGGATTGTTCTATTTCTTGCATTTTACAATTGTATGACAGTGTGCCGCGCTTGTGCGCGTGAGAGAGTGAGAGTGATTGACTGCAATGACAACAGAAAAGTACGATAAATAATTGCACAATGTACATAAAATAGCAGGAAATTAACATGAAATTACTTGTCTTGAAATTAGCTTAGCATATATAAACTGACACTTTCATAAATTGAGATAGTTACCGTTTTGTAGCCTCTAAATTGTAACTATGCAATGTGAATGACGGATTGGTTGTTTATAATTGTGTTCTGTGACTTTTTTCTATTTGTAAATACTAATGTAATGAATAAATATGTTTCTGAAAACCTCCAACTCATTTAAGCTTAGTACATAAAATGTCCATATATGCAGACTTAGTCTCGTCGCTATATGGCTGAGATAATGCCGATGCCACGTATAACCCAACTCAAGTCAAATCAACTTATAACCTCTATGTTGTGACATTCTTTTTAAGCGAGTACGCTTTCTAGGGCTAAAGGGTAAGAGTTACTTCCCTTTGGTTTTTTTGGAAAATACGAAAACACAAAATGGGATTTTGTCTTAAGACAAAAGTGGAATGTGCACCTCGAATCATCACTGATTTTTAGTGGTGTATTCATATAATTGTCATCAGTATTTTGCCTTTCACACTCAAGTGGTTATGACCTGATATATTTACCTCAAGAGAGGGCCAGGTTAATCTGAACAAATGATATCAACCGAGTAAAATGTAGAGAAAAACATTTTCAATTTTACTTAAATTGTTTCCTCGGCTTTTACACCCAAAACATGAATTAAACGCTGACAAAGTGAATGTGCCGAAGGAAAACGTCTTCGCGAAAAATACCTAAATTCACCTCCTTTCATAGCAATGTAGGAAGACAACAGATAGTAAGCTTTCTCCATCACAGACTCGAGGCGTGGTTAGAAGTAGTGGCTACAGAAGAGAACCGTCTCTCCTGCAGAAACATTAAAAAGTGGTTCTTTTCGCTCTTCTTGATACGATTCTTTTACTGATATCCCGTTATAACCTTCGTTACGCCATTTGACACATACTCTTGGTGAACGTCCAGACTTATCAACCTCTATGCCATCTTGCACCAACCACAGTTCGGTTATGCTCTTATACTTTATGGGGCGGTGGGGTAGCCTAGTGGTTACAGCGTTGGCTCGTCACGCCGAAGACACGGGTTCGAATCCCCACATGGGCACAATGTGTGAAGCCCATTTCTGGTGTCCCCCGCCGTGATGTTGCTGGAATATTGCTGAAAGCGGCGTAAAACCAAACTCAGTCAGTCAGTCAGTCTTATACTTTAGCTAGAGGGTGGTGTCTGATTTGACACTGGTTTGGAAGTTATTTAATCATTTGTCAATAGTCGTGTCGCTGGGATCATTCTTTAAATTACAATATGTCATATTGGATACCTTAGTTTGAGGTATATGGAAATCACGGTGTAATAAATATGCGAAGATAATTATATCCCGCTGCAGACATGTGTCATAGTTGCGTTAACGCTGATGCCACGCTGACGTCGCCGTTATCTCACACATTCTTATTTGTTCTGTCCATTTCCAAACAGTGACAGTTTGGTTAACATATTGACTCAGATCAGTGCCACGGGGGACCAGAAGAGAGATGAAACGTTTCTGGAATCGGTATCTCCCTTGTAAGAAAACAACTTGCCATACAATGGAATGAAGTGACAGAACTCTACAATCGATCAATCAACAATTCATTGACGTCATAATCACTAGAAATGTACGTGTTTCCGACTGATTTGTTTCTAAAACTTTTCATATGTGTTGTTTTTCATCAGTGTATTAAGGAAGACCCTTGTTGATTCGGTCTAGACTTGCCCAAATCTGTAAGAACACTTCCAATAGTTTGAATAATAATATACAGGTTTTAAAAAAAAACAAGTTGGCCTTATATACAGAACATTGGCGGGCGTTCTGCACTTGCTGCTTATCTAGACGTCTTTTAAAAGAATGACTATAAATACATACACATTTCATTCAGTACAGCATTTGAGTAAGGTTGCTTTTGTGTCATTCAAAGTTTGATATTTTTTTGACGTAAAGGAGGTATTTTGACACATCATTGACAATGATGTTTGATGCAACATCTTGAATTGCATCACATGATTCCATGTTTTATCAGGTGAACAAATGACTTGCCTTTGTGTTTGTGACAGGTGCCGTGGTGAGGTTGGATACGCTGGTAACCTCACTGTTGCGTAGTGAGTCATGAAATAGGGGAAGGGTTTTGTGGCTTTCATTCAAACCAATACTGTCATCTTCCACAAGGAGGGCGGTGGGGTAGTCTAGTGGTTAAAACGTTCGCTCGTCACGCTGAGGACCTGGGTTCAATTCCCCGCATGGGTACAACGTGTGAAACCCATTTCTGGAGTCCCCTGCCGTGTTATTGATAGAATATTGCTAAAAGCGGCGTAAAAGCAAACCCAGTCACTCTTCCACAAGGAGTTTTTGCAGCACATGCTTGACTTCTGTTACTAAAAGTGACTCACAGATAGTATTTAAGGATTAGCCTTGTGTGAACAGCGTCTGCCGGAACAGCGGAGTTGTTCAATCCCTGTCCAAGGCAAGCCAAAACATGTAAAGTTGGTTCTTGTTGCCCTGCCTGGTGGTCGACATTAAGGGGATAAAACATGGAATGGTAGGGTCGATGTCAGTATGCCATGACCAGGTGAGGTGGCGCTGTCTTCACGAGTAGATCGCTCTCTCCAAACCAAGTCAAATATTTAAACAAAATGTCCGCGAAGAAAGGAAATAAGTCCAAACACGGTACAGAAGTCTCGCAACGTTCTGCATCTTCAAATATGGAATAGTATATACAGACAAGAGCTCGTACAAGCTCCGAGAGACCTTCCGACTCAGTCAACATGCCGTCGTCCGCCATTAGTCCCCCTGCCGACATGGACAGGACCGTACTCAAGAGTCTCATGCAGGAGTCCCTCACAACGCATACACAAACAATTGTGAGAAGTACTAACGCAATGAGTATTGAGATTACAGAGCTAAAACTAAACACTAAAACTAATACTTCCGCCTATGTCGCTCAGCGCGGAGCAAATTGAAACAAACAGAAAAGAAATTGAGAAGTTAAAGCAGGACATGTCAGACACGAAGAAACCATCTGAATTGAAGTTCCTGACGTTCGAGATGTAGTAACCTGTTGCTTTATGACATCCCCGATGATAAGGACCCGGAGAGTGCTGCTAGGGAAGTGTTCTTCACTTGGTGTGAAAGACTTGGATGTATACATCGGTTACCCCGCATGGGTACTGATCCTGCCAACTCTAAAGCAGATATGCCTAAACCAATTGTTATCAAATTTGTTAGAGCAGGAGACAGACAAGCTGTCTTCCACGCTCCCATCAAGGGATGGGCCTCTCTCAAGAAAAGAAAAATCAGTATTCGTCCTGATCTCCCGGTCCCCCTAAAGAAAAGAGGGATAAACTTGCGAACCCCGCTTTCCAGCTCAGGAGAAACCACAAGGTACAGACCAGGATCTTGGAGAAAGGAGTTGATCTCGCTCTGCGGATAAGGAAAACCCCTCAGGATCGCCGGAGGATCGTTGAAATAGACGAGGATATCAGTGTCAGTACCTAGTCTCGTAACATAACGGTTTCAAACTATGTGTGTAACATTTCTCGGTGAAAACACCTGTTTCTTTTTGTTACCTTCATTTCAGTTCAATCGCCTTTGGTCGTGAATCATTCTCTTCCCACAGAGGTTACTTGCCATATCTTCCTACGAACCTCTGTTCTAATACGGTCATATTTCCCGGTTCTCGTAAAATCCCTAGCGGCAAAAAATCGCAACACGAATTATCTCCCTTCTTTCTGTCCAATCAGAACACGTGTTACATCAACTTGACTAATACAAGCAAATGTTGGGTCACAAATATCCCTCCTCTGCCAGGAACTTGTGTTGACGTGACACACAAGCCATTTAATGGCTAGCCTAGCCGTTGTCAGCGAGGGCGATGGAGGCGCCATTGTTCCGCCATTTACATGACTGAGTTCTGTCTATAAGAAACGTTTGCGCATCGCGCAGGGAGAGAGGTTCTAGTTTTCCCGAAGCATACGGAAATAACCGAGGCCTTGCGAATGATCACTTTTGAAACAACGTCGCTGATTGCACAACTAAATCTGATTGCAACCAATCACGAATCCTGAACACTCGCACCATGAAAGGGCCGTATTAGAACAGAGGTTAGTAGGAAGAAATGACAAGTAACCTCTGTGGGAAGAGAATGGTCGTGAATATACTTGAAGAGTTATCGGACGATCAGTGAATGAACTACGAGTACACAACGGATAGATCTACCTCCGATATGCCTCATAACTCTGACTAATATATTCAGAATATGCCTCTTAACTCTTAAATAACATTTGCACAGGCAGGAACACGTGCTGTGCTATATATAAATAGTTCTTATTCACTGCGCAACTGGCTTTGGGATGTTTTGCTTTGGGACTGCAGACTAGTGCTGTGTGTGTGACGCGTGAGTAACCATTTGCTTTTAGTTACAAACAAGACTTCATTAACATGTATTCTAGCTGCTATGTGACCACCTCAGTCTGAACAGTACTCGAGAGGCACTCATGGCAAATGACCTATGGAGCTTTTCGTACACGCTATGACATTTCGTCCCATATATTGTTGTATTTGTTGGTATATTGGATATGGAATTTCACTTTTGGTCTCTGATTACTTTTACCAATGACTGGTTTTGGAAGGAAAGAGGAAAACGTCATCTATATCTTTGTTTTTACATTCCTTTATATATTATATAAATCAAAACTGTTTCCATCAGTTTCGCTTGTTAGAAACTTCATTTACTTTACTCACTTCTCATGCTTAATTATGCCACATTTTAGAATGTACATTCATTTCCAAACTACCATGCCATTTACCAGTACATGTATATATTTCTAACTTAGCTTAGAGCCTTATTGTTTCATAACAAAATCTCCTTTTGAAATGACCAAAATTAAGAAAATTAAAATGATTTCATCAAATTCAGGTTTAGCTGACAAAAACAAGAAGAAAGAAGTTATGAACTTCAAGAAATAAATACTCACGTATTTGTCTACACGACTCTTATATTTCCCCTGAAAATGGGAATACTGTGAAAAATGAATGGGGTCTGCATTGTATAATTGCTCCCTATATAGAAATATAATGCAAGAGGCATCGCAATATTTTCAATAATGAAAATTGATTGTACTATCCATAGAACAATTATCGATGAAAATGGAAATTATATCATCGCAGATCTAACAGTAGAAGATAGAAGAATTACGTTTACTAATCTCAATAGATAAATGAAGATAACCCAAATTTCTATAAAAACTAGAAAATATTCATGGTTTCGGAAATGAATCATTATCGTTGTTGGTGATTGGAACTTAGCATTAGACCCATCAATAGATTGAGAGAATTATAAACACATAAATAATTGAGGTATTGAACTACCTGAATATAACAACCTTTTTGATATTTGGAGAGAATTAAATAAAAATGAAAAGAAAGATACTTGGTGGAAAAAAATCCAAGGCAACAAGCTTGATTAGATTCTTTTATTATTTCACAAGGTATTTGTGACCAAACCTTGCATTCCAATATTTTACCAGGATATAAATCTGATCATTCTACTATTGATATATCTTTTTTCAAACTCTATTAGCCAAGAAAGAGGGAGTGTTTATTGGAAGTTTAATAAGTCCTTGCTTCCTAACCCAGATTATGGAAACTTAGTTAGGAATACATTAAAAGAAACCATTGATGAATACACAATATCTGAACCAGTCAATTATGATAGTCCAGGGAAATACAGCTTAGGATTGATGATAGCTTATTTCTAGAAACCCTACTAATGAAACTAAGGTAAGAGTATATCCCATTCCACATATCTGAAAAAAACAGCAAAAAGAATAGAACTGATGAACTAGAATCTAGAATAAAGACACTTGAAGAAGTTATAAGAAGAGATTTTCAAAACATTAGTGACAATTTGCTAGGTGAACTATCAAAACATAAAACTGAGCTTGAGCAGGTAGAAGAAGAAGAAATGAGAAGAAAAAATAAGCTGCTTTGGCATGAAGAAGGAGAAAACCAACAAAATATTTTTGTCACTTGGAAAACAAATTATGCTAGTAACTCTATTAAGAAACTTTAGTCAAGCAACAATGAGGATTTAACAGATAGGGATTCTATGAATATCTTCTGGCAACAGTCTGATGTCTGATAGAGAGACGCTCTAGCTGACTCTGTGTTTGGTTGAAAGAACCTCACAGCTGCGTGTCATCTGCGCAGAAGTGGTCAAGATTAAGGTTTGCTACAACAGAGCCAAGTGCAACAGTGTAGAGGGTGATGATGATCGTACCAAGCACGGGACTCCGCACTCAAGCCTAGATGCGGTTGACACAGACTCGCCAACAACAACGGTTTGAGTCCTGTCCTGTAGATAAGATGCCAGCCAGGATAAAGCTGAATCCAAGTTCTGTATCAAGTCTTTTGAGGAGTCTCTGGTGATCAATCGTGTCAAAGGCACTGCTTAGGCCAAGTAATGTGAGCAGGGCTATACTTGTCCTGTGTCATTACCACATCGTAGGTCATTCAGGATCTTCAGCAGAGCCGTCTCTGTGCTGTGTTGTGCTCTGCAGGCTGATAGGAACACCTCATAGAGGTCATGCCAGGAAAGGTGGCCCATGAGACGACTGGAGACTGCACGTTCAATGAGTTGGATATAAATGCTAACTTTGAAACAGGCCTGTAGTTTTTTTTATCCTCCTAATCAAGCTTGATTTCTTCAGATGTGGCGTAACAAGAGCTGACTTGATTACACTTGGGACATAACCAGATGAAGTAGAAGAGTTAATAATTAGCACTAATGTTGGTAAATATCAGTGAAAGAGGCATGCCATCAAACAGTTTTGGAGGAATATCAGCTTCATCCACAGCCACAGAAGACAAAATCTTGTCATGAATGTTCTTGGATCTTTTTGTAGAAATAATGCGAAAATGTCTGTGCTATTACTTCATTGTCATCAGATGTCGCAAGTGTCGATTCAAAGTGTTTACCCAAGATACTGAACAAAAGTTCGAACAGCAACTTTGGACTTGACTCTTTGGCTTCAATCTTAGAATTGAGATGTTGATTTGTCAGATGACCGTTGTTGGTCGATTTTGGCTGAAATATACATTTGGCG